TGTCTCAACCCCAGCCAAAACCGAGATAGCAAAAGGAATCGGTCGCTCGGCCGGGCTAACATCTGGTCTGCTTGGGCGACCGAACTCCTTAGTTAGCTTAGACGACCGAGGTGGTTTGGCACTCTTAATGACCGAGCTAGAGTCCAGCTCCTTTCGCGCGACCGCGCTCACACTTACACTTGCCATCATTTTCCTGCAGAGTCCAAGGGGACCACTGTCCATTTCTGAGGCTCTCAAGGCCGAGCAACAACCAATTACCACAGTGCCAAACCCCTCAGCCGAGCTATCCTAGGCCGGCCACAAATGGGGAAATTTCGATTTCTCGTAGATACTCCAGCTGCACTGGCTGCATTCAGGGAGGAGTACGGCATCCTCGGCTACAGTCCCACATACAGATACTCCGCTCCCCGCCGGAGTAAAGTTACAGACTTCCTCCGCGCTCCAACGCCTCCACCAGATCCAACTCTGCCAGACGTTCTACTCATTCGCTTGACAGAGGAGCAAGAGATGGCCAAACGAAGCAGAATCAAGAACCTGCTCACCGCCACATCTGCCGAGATGCCGAGCGTTGTCACCCGCTCGCCAGCCGCCGGTCAATCCAGTGGCGCCGTGGTCGCTCTTGCCTCTCAAGCGACCGGGCAGTCCAGCCGAGAACCTGCTCCTCGCCGTGCTGGTAAAAGAGCTCGTGCAGACCCGTCTGCCGAGCTTGTCGCCGAGCTGACTACCGAACATCCATCTGACACTCCTGTCCCAGTGCCGGCCTGGCGTCCACAGCTGAAGCACCGGGGTCAAGACATCCCTGCCACGGCTTCGATCAAGGGCGATAAAGAGCATTTGCTCGCCTTCGATCTTTCCAAAGCTCTTCTTCTACCGAGCAACGTGGTCGGCAGCGACTACGTCCCTAACACTCGGTTGGTAAAATCATCAGTGAAGTCTATGGCTAGGGTAAGTCAATGTCCCTCTGAAATTTTCACAAGTGTTTGCCCGGTTCCTTTTCTAATCAACTTTGCTTCTTGCAGGTCATTCAGAAACAACACCTAGTAATGGAGCGCATCCATAGACTTCGGCAAAAGGCCAATGACACAGCCAGCCAAGTCCAGAGCCTCTAAGCCGAGCTCGGCCGGGCAAAGTCTTCACTTGAGAAGGCTAACGCAGACAACAACAGACTGCTCGGTCAGCTGGATGCGGCCGTGAAAAAACAGGATGACCTCCAGACCGAGGTAAACGCGCTCAAAAAGTCGCAGAAGAAAGACTGCCGGGCTGCTAACAACGCCGGCTTCAACGAAGCCGAGCAGAGCTATAAGAAACAAGTCTTTGCAACACAAGACATTTACTTCAAAGCTGGCTGGAAGTCCGCCTGCGAGCATCTCGGCCAGGGCTCTAACACCGACGTATTTGCCAATCCTCCTCCTGCTTCGCTACCGGTCTACCTCGTGCCTTACGCAAACGACGTCTTCAGCGCTTTGCAAGCTGAGGCCGAGGAAGGGCTTGAAGAGGGAGATGCCGAGACAGATACAGAGGCAGAGCATGCCGAGGTGCAGGAGCAGCCGGGCCATGACGAGCCCAGTGCCCAAGACAAAAGTCCAACCATCAACCTTGATGCCGCCGAGGACGAGTTTACCAATCTCTCCCCCTTAGTTTAGTTTTCTTCTCTTTTTGTATTTTTGCTTTCAGCGCTTCTGATGTAACCGGGCTCTGTCCCCACCTTTTGTATGGACTTTCTTATCAATGAAAAACTCAAATTTTGCCAAGTGTTTGCACGGTTGTCATCAATTCCATCTTCAGCAAAACATCTCAGTATAAATCATAGATTGAACAAAACACCTCGTCAACCGGAATTCATAACTCGATTGAAGTACTTAAGCAGAACAAAACAGAAAATTCATAAACCGAAATAACCATCTCGGTTGGTAATAACAAAGTTGAACAAATCACCAACTCTTCCGACCGGAGTAAATCATCTCGGTTGGGAATAGTAGTTGAACAAATCACCAACTCTTCCAATCAGGATAAATCATCTCGATTGGGAATCCTAAGTTGGACAAAACACCAACTCTTCCAACCGGAATAAATCATCTCGGTTGGGAATAGCAGTTGAACAAATCACCAACTCTTCCAACCAGAGTAAATCATCTCGGTTGGGAATAGCAGTTGAACAAATCACCAACTCTTCCAACCAGAGTAAATCATCTCGGTTGGGAATAGCAGTTGAACAAATCACCAACTCTTCCAACCAGAGTAAATCATCTCGGTTGGGAATAGCAGTTGAACAAATCACCAACTCTTCCAACCAGAGTAAATCATCTCGGTTGGGAATAGCAGTTGAACAAATCACCAACTCTTCCAACCAGAGTAAATCATCTCGGTTGGGAATAGCAGTTGAACAAATCACCAACTCTTCCAACCAGAGTAAATCATCTCGGTTGGGAATAGCAGTTGAACAAATCACCAACTCTTCCAACCAGAGTAAATCATCTCGGTTGGGAATAGCAGTTGAACAAATCACCAACTCTTCCAACCAGAGTAAATCATCTCGGTTGGGAATAGCAGTTGAACAAATCACCAACTCTTCCAACCAGAGTAAATCATCTCGGTTGGGAATAGCAGTTGAACAAATCACCAACTCTTCCAACCAGAGTAAATCATCTCGGTTGGGAATAGCAGTTGAACAAATCACCAACTCTTCCAACCAGAGTAAATCATCTCGGTTGGGAATAGCAGTTGAACAAATCACCAACTCTTCCAACCAGAGTAAATCATCTCGGTTGGGAATAGCAGTTGAACAAATCACCAACTCTTCCAACCAGAGTAAATCATCTCGGTTGGGAATAGCAGTTGAACAAATCACCAACTTTTCCAACCGGGATAAATCATCTCAGTTGGGATTCCTAAGTTGGACAAAACACCAACTCTTCCAACTGGCGTAAACCATCTCGATTGGGAATCCTAAGTTAGACAAAACGCCAACTCTTCCAACTGGAGTAAACTATCTCAGTTGGGAATCCGAAGTTGGACGAAACACCAACTCTTCCAACCGGAGTAAATCATCTCGGTTGGGAATAGCAGTTGAACAAATCACCAACTTTTCCAACCGGGATAAATCATCTCAGTTGGGATTCCTAAGTTGGACAAAACACCAACTCTTCCAACTGGCGTAAACCATCTCGATTGGGAATCCTAAGTTAGACAAAACGCCAACTCTTCCAACTGGAGTAAACTATCTCAGTTGGGAATCCGAAGTTGGACGAAACACCAACTCTTCCAACCGGAGTAAATCATCTCGGTTGGGAATAGCAGTTGAACAAATCACCAACTTTTCCAACCGGGATAAATCATCTCAGTTGGGATTCCTAAGTTGGACAAAACACCAACTCTTCCAACCAGA